CTCCCTGAGGTTAGACCTAATAGAAAATCTGGAGCCCAGCCAGGTATGTTAATAATTAGAGAAAGCTGCTTATTTATTCACCTAGTGGAGACTTATGTGAATGTTAATAATGGTTTACATAACCCTTCCCCCTCAGTCTCCTTTCCTCAGAATGATTCAGTGGATAGAATGCTGAACTCAGATTCATTGAACCTGGGTTCAGTTCTCCTCTTAGACACCAGCTAACTGTATGATTCTGGTCAAGTAATTTATTTAGCTTCTCAGTGCCTCAGACGATAAGACTCAGTGCTCCAAGACTGTAAGTGTAGAACAGATATCCATTAACATTGGTCTAAGGAATTATCCTCATTGGACATTTACTGTATCAGTGAAAACACAGGTTCAGTCCGAAATACATTTATGTGTATGTGTATACACACATATAGTTGTATAGTTGTATTTAAATATACATACCTATATATTTATATGGATAAATACATCTATTTCTTGTTCAGTTGTGTCCAACTCTTTGTGGCCCCATGGACACCAATGCTGCCTGTGGGGTTTTCTTGGCAAAGATGCTAGAGTGGACTGTCATTTTCTTCTCCAGTAGATTAAGGTAAACAGAGGTTAAGTGACTTGCCCAAGGTCACAGCTAGTGAGTGTCAGAGGCCAGATTTGAACTCAGGTCTTCCTGACTCCAGACCCAGCACTCTATCCACTGAGCCACCTAGCTGCCTCATAAACAAATAAATATATGCATACATATGCACATGTACAAATACATATGTATATATGTTAGTACTGCAAATCTATTTATATCCATCTTTACATATGTATAAGTATATATGTATATATAAAAATGGTAGTGATGGGGAAGCATGCAAGGGCTTGGAGTAATGGAGTGACATTATCAAACCTGTGACTTAGGAGTATTAATCCTAAAGTAGTTACTGGGTTGGGGCAGCTAGGTAGTGCAGTGGATAGAATGCTAGGCATGGAATCAGGAAGATGAATCAACCTGAGTTCAAATCCAGCCTCAAACTCTTACTGGCTATATGACCCTGGGCAAGTCACTTAACCCCAGTTGCCTCAAAAAAAAGTATACACACACACACACACACATTGGTGATGATTATTGTCACCATTATTACTATGTAGGATTCAGAAACTTCCCATCAAAAGTTAGATTTGCGTTGACCTTCAGACCTAATCCTCAGAGTGGCTGAGCTCTGGCTGGCACAAATCTGTGGCTTTATTTGGTGATCTCAGATGATGGAGTTGGGTGTAATTTCTTCTTTCCTCAGCAGCACATGTGGCTTCGCCATTAAGTCACCCAGCTTTCTGAACAAAAGCTAAGGGGTGGGGACCAAGCTTACTTCCTGCCCTTCCCCAGAGCTGGTCACTGCTGCTGTTTCCAGTAAGCCTTGAGCCAAAGCAGAGAATCATCCAAGCTCCAGAATCACCCTTGTAATATCCTCCCCACACAAGAACCTTTGGGAATGTGTTTTGTTTTGGTTTTGAGGGGAGAAGGGTGGCCTCAAGGGTCCTGGGTGCACATATGCAGGGGAGCCCCACATTTGTGTTGAAATCAAGCCCAGGCTGACAAAAGCCTCCCTTTTGTTCCATCTAGAGCTTCACACATTGGTCCCATTCACTGGTCATCCAGCCTGGACATGGCTCTGAGCCCAAGACAGTGCCTTGCACTCAGTGAAATGTTTTGTTAAATTGAATTAGATAGAGTTGGACTGTTGCCCATTTCCCTTAGGGGTTGGCTCTTGGGGCCCTGATAGTCTAGGGTCGCTCATCTTTCTGATAGGTGTTGACTCCCTGTCTGCTGGAGGTGATCTGGGTCGGTAGCAGCAGATGAGTAAGGGGGAATAGAGGAGAGAAGATTAACAGATGACTGTCCCTAGGGCAGCAGTAATTTCATTTGTACTTGAAAATAAATGTCTGAGGAGAAACAGCTGGTATGTGTTGGTGTATGCAAAGCACAGGTAAATTCCCTGTTCCACACACCTGTAGGTGGCCCTTAGGAAAATTTAACCTAGGCAATCCAAGGTAGGGGAAAGAACACCAGCTTTGGTGTCAGAGGAGCAAAGTCAAATATTTGCCTCAGCCTTTACTCCCAGTATAACCTTTGACAAGTCAAGCAACCTCACGCCTACCCCTACTCCCACTTTCTTCATCAGCAAAGCAGGGATAATAATACCAGGATAACACCTATCTCCCAGGGCAGCTGTAAGATTCCAAAAAGAAGTGCCAACTATTAGGACACATAAATGTCCATTACCGTTATTTGATGGAATGATTTCCTATGAACATTCAATTCAACAAACCTTTATTAAGCATGTACTATGTGCAAGGCACTATGCTAGGCACAGAAAAAAATGATGTGCCCTTAAAGTAGCTTATATCCTGTGGGTAGGAAGGCACAATTTATATTCAGATAAGTAAAAAAAAAGGAGAGTAATTTCAAGAGGGTCAGAGGATTCACAATTAAGGGGAATCGGGTTAGGCCATGAGTAGCAGGGGCAGCTGACCTCTGCTTTGAAAGGAAGCTAGAGATTCTAGAAGGAGGATGTGAGGAGGGGCTGCATTCCAGAGAAGGGTAACTGCCTGTGTAAAGACAGAAGCAGGAAATGAGTGTCACGTACTGGGGACAGTTAGCAGGCCAGTTCAGATTAGAAACATAGATAAGGAGCTCAATTGTGACAGGTTTTAAATTCCAGGCTAAGGATTTTTGAAGTTTTATCTTGATGGTAATAGGGAGCTACTGAAGGTTTTTAAGTAGGACAGTGACATAGATCTGTGTTTTAGAAATATCAGTTTTGTACTTGCATAGAAGATGAACTGGAGGAGAAGACTAGAAGCAGGGAGATTAATTAGGATCTATCACAGTAATTAAGATAGAGGTGAGCAGGTCATTTAAAGTAAATTAGGTACCAGTTCCCAAGCCCTTAAAAAAGGGCTAGTTATAGCTAAATTAATTCAGGTTTCTCATTTGCAGCGCACCCACTTCTGTACCTGTCATGGTCTCTGAAATCCTCAGGAGACCAGGCCAAGTTTGGAGGGGTTTGGGTGTTGCATGAACAATGGCATTTGACTCTATATAACAACAGGCATCAGGAGCGTATACAGAACTGAAAGACAGTTATTTCTCTCAGAATGTCAGTAGCTTGTTCCATAAGAAATGGTGAGCAGAAAAACCTGGAAAGACTTGTACGAACTGATGCTGAGAGAAGTGAGCAGAACCAGGAGAACATCGTACTCAGTAACAGCCGCACTGTGCAATGACCGACTTCGTTAGACTTAGCTCTCTGGAGCAATGCAATGATTTAAGACAATTCCAAAAGCCTCATGATGGAAAATGCTATCCACATCCAGAGAAAGAACTGTAAAGTCTGAATGCAGATCAAAGCATACTATTTTCCCTTTTTTTGTTTTGTCTTTCTTGTAGTTTTTCCCTTTTGTTCTGATTCTTCTTGCACAACACGACCAATGTGGAAATATGTTTAATATGACCATACATGTATAGCCTATATCAGATTGCAGGCCATTTGCAGAGGGGGAAGTGGGGGGAGGGGAAAAATTTTAAATTCAAAATCTTATAAAAGCAAATGTTGAAAATTAAAAATAAATAAAATATTTTTTAAAAATGTCAATAGTTGACTGGATCCTGCAAGGAATTCTTACTGCTTTTAAAATTCTTTAAAGAGCAAGAAGTACATATATAACTCCCTCTCCAACCCCACACCCAATTCATTCAAATGCCACCAATTGAACAGAAGGTAGGTGGTGAAGTAGATAGATTAGCAGGCCTGGTGTTAGGAAAGCCTGAGTTCAAATCCAACCTCAGATACTTACTAGCTATATGACCCTAGGCAAGTCACTTAACCCACTTTGCCTCAGTTTCCTCTTCTGTAGAATGATCTGGAGAAGGAAATGGCAAACTACTCTAGTATCTTTGCCAAGAAAACCCCAAACAGGGTCATGAAAAGTCAGAACACTAGTTGATTGATGATAGCACTGCAATATCTCTCAAATTCACCTCCTTCTTTCCTCTCCATTCCCCTCTTCCTAGTCTACACCCTCAACATCTCTTTGCCTGGACCATTTTCAATAACCTTCTAACCAATCTCTTGCCTCCAATCTCTCAAATTCATCCTCCACCCTGATAGATTATCTGGGGCTGGGTATACTTATCCCTGGGTCTGGAGAGGCACAGAAGAGCTAAGCACAGCTCCCTTCTCTTCTTGGCTTCTTAGAATCCCCGGGCTTCCTTTGAAGCTCACCTCTACAAGAAGCGTTTCTGGATTCTTCTAGTTCTTAATGTTCTCTCCCTCTTCAAATAATTTTGTATTTGTTCATTTGCTTACATATTGTATTCCCTAGTAGGTGGTAAATAGGAGAGCTAGGATTTGAACTCAAGGCTTCCAGCACTGTCTAGTTCTCTTTCTACCCTTGGTGACTTATTTGGTCGTTTTCAACTTTTGTGACCCCATTTTGGGGTTTTCTCGGCAAAGACTGGAGTGGTTTGCCATTTCCTTCTCCAGCTTATTTTACAGTTGAGGAAACTGAAGCAAACAGGGTTAAGTGACTTGCCCAGGGTCACACAGAGAGGAAGTTTCTGAGGCCAGATTTGAAGTTTGGGAAATGTCTTCCTGACTCAGGCCTGATGCTCTATCTACTGCACCACCTAGCTGCCCTGTTGGTCACATTCCTCAAAATGACAGTCCAAGGTTAGAATTGACAGACCAGAGCAGAGGCATCACTTGGATTAAGCCATGAGGGTTTTGCCATGGGGTTGGAAATTTAGAGGGTGCCAGCAGCACTGTCTTTGGGTGATTTCCTTCTTCTTTAGCAGCCTAGAAATCTCAGGGTGTCTGGAGGGGTCTCTGTAGCCTACCTCCTGATCTTACCTGACCTCCTGTAGCATGGAAACCTCATAGTGCAGTGAGGTAGAACCTATAAAGGTTGACTTGGTTTCATTTCCCCAGTTTCAGAGAGACAAGCCATACTGAATGTGAATCAGTCTTTATTCTGCACTCGTACTGTGCATTAACAAATCCAACATACAAGATAGCGTTACATAGTGTAAGGTTAGCATCACAGCGTTATGCAATGTCACACAGTTCATGTTAGATGTTTTTTCTGGGGTTTTTTTTGTTGTTTTTTCTTTTTAAAATTTTTGACACACTGTTTTATTTAACTGTTTTAGACATTTCTGAGTTTCATTTTTACAAGAGAAGACACAAGGTAAAGAAAGACCACGTCGGAGAGGGATTGTGGTGAGGGCAGTGTCCTCACCTTGGTGATGGTGAGAGCCTTCCCGGACATGCGGCCTGCCCTCCTCAGTCCCTCCCCTGAACAAGCTGTCTCTGTCCAGAAAACCAATTATGTCTGGCTTCTGGATTGGGAGCAAGCTCTATTCCAATTCAACAGGGGATTTCTCTTGGTGTTTCCTCTCCAGAAAGAGCTAGAAAAAAGGAACCACTCTAGAAGGGGGCTTTTGATGCTGATAAAAGCTCTATTCTTCCTAGAAGGGAGATGCCCAGAGGCCAGGCAACCTTCCAAAGACAAATGACAATTTCCCAAACCTATTCCTGACTCCTAGAGAGAGTCTTGTGCAAAAAAAAAACACGAAAAGAAAAAAAAAGTGAGGCTGTGACTCTCTTGCCTACCAAATGAATCCTAGGAGGAGACAGTCCTCTGGCTCTGCCCTGACAGTGAGCCTTGGAAGGAACAGGCCAGAAGACCACAGCCAGCTATGAAACTTTGGGTCAGCAAAGTCAAGGTCACCAATAGATCAGGCCTGAGGTAGGTGGGGAGAACCTGGTACAGCCACCCCTGTCCCCAACATTGTCTTTCTTTGAGAAAGACAGTCATGGCAGTCAGCCCCCTCCCCCCACCCCAGTTTCTATTGACTGTTCCCCTATCCCTTCCCCACCCACTCACTACTCAGGAGATCCAAAAGATGGGAAGAATAAAGCTACCAGGGAAGGTGGGAGAGTGGAGGGGGGGGGCGGTGGGAGAGGAAGGGGAGAGGCAGTTTTCCCAAACTTATGTCTGGAGGAGCTATAGAGGCACACACACAGCTGGGCCAAGGCCCAGCTATCTCTACCAGTTGCTTTGCATTGTTTCTGGGAAGGAAACAGAAGTGGGGATGCTCAGGGATTTCTGATCTTTAGGCATTAAGGCGATGAAGAGGAACCATTTCCATTTCTTCCTAAGCGGGCTTCAAAATGCGCCGACTGGATTTACATTAAACTATCTCAAAGTGAGCTTTTAAAAAACCAAAAAAAAAATTATTTTCTTCTACGTATGATACAGTATTTACAATCCTCCAGGCACAGGACAGAGACTAGTTTTCAGAACACAACTTAAAGGTGGGAGGAAATTTGAGCTGGAATGCTGGAGGAGGAAGGGAAAGAACTGGGATAGGGAGGGACACTCTTGTTATCTTTCTACCTACTTAAATCTTCTTGTTTTCAAGAGATAGTGATGAAAAAAAAAAAGAAGAGGATGATTTTTTTTTGTTGTTCTTTTGGGAGGAGTGAGCTGGAAGGATTTTTGTGGCTTTTTATTTTTTATTTTTTTTAATGTCTGCAGAGCTACCTGGAAGGCTCAAGGCAAGATGTACATCCTTTGATAAGCTATCTGACTTTTCTGTAGCCCTCCTTGGAAGCAAACTGGGGAGAACTTTTTAAGTGTAGTGATACTTCATTGGTATGCAGATGGATGATCATCAGGAGCCTGGCTCAGTCTCTAACTTGGCTGATTCCTTTTGTAAGCTGAGGGATACCCTATGTGGCATTATGTGTTCCACATAATTCAGGCTATCCCCAGGGGGAGCTGAGTCTTTAAACCATCTCAAAACTAAGGGAAAGATCATTGGGCTGGGAGATAGGAGACCTGAATTCTCTTCCCAGTTTAACCACTGACTTACCTTGAGATTCTGGACAAATGGCTGAATTCTCAAGAGGCCCTGTTTCACCATGTATAAAAAACTGATTAAAATCCCTAAACTATCCCCACTCCCAATTCCCAGGGATGTTTTGAAACCCAGTAAGGTTATACATGAACTTTGTACTTTTGGGGACTGGGAGAGGGTGGAAAAGGTGCTATAGAAATCCAAGGGTGGTGGCGACACCCTTTTTGATGAGGGTGGCACTTTTTGACTTGAAAAGCGCTATAGGAAAGTGAGTATCACCATTATTTTTTTTCCCTAAGGGCCATCATTGAAACTTCAAGAAAGAGTCATTTCTGAGAATATTTGCCTTTGGAGAACAAAAGTTAAACCCCCAAATAAGGCTCTAGGCCAATTCCAGAGAAATTCCTTGGACAATATTTAGAAAAACCAAAGACCCATCTAACCCTTTAAACCACTGTCAGATTTTAGTCCAGCCACCAACGGATGACTTCTGTATATAGCAGCAAAATGGGCAGGCCGGAGTCTTCCTCTCCTCCCTTCCCTGATCCTTCTCATTTAGAAAGAGGATGAATATGGTATTTAGGGACCATTACACAAATAGCAAGACAATGGCATTCTCTTTGGGTCCTGGCCCTTTAGATTTCCCTTCCCTCCCCCTCCCCCTTTTGCCATAAGAAATCCTCTGAATTGATGATTTCATGGTCCTTATGGGGAAAGTCTGGCTGTGTCACAAACCCAAGTTTCATCAGGTCAAGCCCTAGTGTTTTGCTACCTATATGCAATCAAGGGACAGTTATCTGTCAGCCATTCCCACAGCTCATTTAGCTAGATTTTTCTTTCTATCGGTAAACAAAACAAAACAAAACAAAATATAATCCTTTCTACTGCCCAGCACCATGTTTGTTTCTTGGCTGAGGGCAGATTTTTTTTAGCTTTTGGCTCATTCCTTGGTTAGGCCAAGGATCTCTCCCACTCCCTGGGAAGAGGCCAGAAAGGAGGCCGAGACCAAGATGGTGGATGAGGAGATGAGGTGTTCAACGGCAAAATTTGGAGTTAAAAAAACCAAACAAACAAATCACAACACCCTCCAGAAAAGCCTGGTAAAACAGAGGCTAGTTTCAGGTGAACCTCAGCAAACAATTCAGCACAGAACACTTTTTCATGGATTAAAATCGATAACTCCATATTGGAAGTTACACTAATTGATTCAGTTTGTATTAGACATGCAATTATGTGGTTACATTGTTATATATATAGGCTTGTATGGGGTCTTTCACTCTTTTTTCCTCATTTTTTTTCCTTTTTCCTTTTTTTTTTTTTAAATTTCTAGTGCCTTGTAAAAGGAAAAAAAAATCCTCATTGCTAGGAACCAAGGAACCAATCTGTTGCTGGGGTTGTATGAGGTGTCCTTTGTGGGTTGTGTTTTGTATGAAAGTTTCTTCTATGACTAAAATGAGGTTTTGAGTCCGCCTCTCTCCATCATCTCCCCTCCCGCCAATCCTCTGGCCATCCCACCTCCCCCCCCCAGGTTTTGGGGGGAGGGAGTCAGGATTAGTACTCGCTCAGACTGTGCCACTTGGCTACTGGCTTGCGTGGGCTCTCACAGACCTCTCGCCAGTGTTCCGCACCGGCAGCCGTGACACTGTGGGCCCCCAAGATCAGCCTCCCCACCACCTCGTTCTTGGTGGTGCGCTCGAAGTCGATAACGAGGAACTCGATACTGATATCAGGCAGCAGGTCAGTGGGGATATCGTAGATGAAGGACTCATTGAAGACAGGATTCAAAGTGCACTTCTTCACGTGGGTCTTCTTCTTGGCAATGCGCTTCCTGCCGTAATAGAGGTTCATCTTGACGTAGGGATCTGGGTGCCCAGGGCAGTGCAGGGAGAGAGAAAAAAGGGAGAGACAGACCTATGACAAAGTTCTCCCTTATTTGCCACCAAGGCAGGGATTATAGCTATGGTGCCCAACCCCAGAGTCTGACTTGTCAGGGATACGGTGGAGGGCACTCATGCTTGAAGCAAGGAATTGGACTAGATGACCCCTAAGATGCTATCCAAACTTAAAATTCTAAGGATAAACTACATTGACAATCCGATTCAGCTGATGTGTGGATTAGCTTCTTTGTTAGAAGTGATGGCTTTATGGGTAGTTGGAGGTGTTGGTGGATATATTTGGGACCAAAGGTAATATAAAAGCAAAATATAGCAATAAAAATGTTTAAGAATAAGAAAAAAAGATTTTAGGTCTCTATTGACACATGCATTTTGAAGAAAATGGACAGGGTATATTCGCTAAATGGGTATTGGCCAAATGGGTGAATAATGGACTGAAAATCTAGGGTCAGAACCATAAGTAGGGTGAGGGCCTAAGGGAATTGGACAACTTCGCCACAGCATGCTAAAGAAATCTCCCTCATAGAAAGCAGCATTTTTAAGGACACAGGCCTCTAAGTAAATAGCTAGTTACCCTCTGGGTGAGAGCCACAACACTCAGCAGGCATATCACTGAATGACTTGGCCATCTGCCCATTCATGCCAACTCCAGGGAGAATACTTCATGTTTTCTCCCTCTCAGAAACATGGGAGATGTCTATAAGCTAAGGGTAAAAGTTAGAGAAGGGGTAGAGGAGAACTTAGAAACCCACTGGCTGATTGGAGTAAATAGCTGCTACCTGAGAGACCGGTGATATCCATCTTTGGCAAGTGTCTTGCTTTAAGGACCACCACTGTCATTCTCTGTGCCACCGGCTGGTAGGACAGGGATACTTGCAGCTCCCCTCTGCTGATACACTTCTGTAAGGAGGAGACCAAATGTAAGGAGATCTGGCAGGGAGTATGGGGGAAAGAATAGGAGGGGTGCAGAGGACTTGGAAAAGAGTCTATAGAGAAGGAAAGAAAGTTCCCACATATATCAAATATTCATATGTGTGGTAACCAAGAACTGAAAACAAAGCTTGTGCCTATAAACAGGAGAATAACAAAACAAATTGTGGTATATGCAGGGGTGTACTGAACCAAGGTGCTACTGGCTCTGGAGAGCTGACTGTTAAGTTTTCAGTGTGAGCATTTATACCTCTGGCAAATGCTGCTAATTAGGGCTTGTTTTGTTAACTGTCTAGACTTAAGAAAGTGATGACAGAAATGTTAGTTTTCTCCAATTAAACTTAAAAGTGTGTTGTGTATACATTTCCTTCCTCCTTTCCCCCAAGAGCTGATTGAACATTTATCAGCACACTGCTGGGTATATGAAATACAATTTAATACAGTAATATTTAATTAATTTTATTATATATAATTAAAGTAATAAATTTAATTAATAATTAAACAATTATATTTAAATAATAATATTTAGTAGCATATAATTATTGTATAAGAAACTATAGGTATGAAGTATCTAGAGCAACTTAGGAAGATTCTTACGAACTGACATAAAGCAAAACAAACAGAACCCATAAGATGATATACACAATGACCACATAAGACAAAACAATACTGAAAATATCAAAACCCCAAATCAGACTACTGCAATGACCAGCTGACTCCAGAGGACTGATAATGATACCTCCCTTCTCTCAGTAAGGAAATAGTAGACTCCAGGTGCAGAATAAGGTACTTGTTATACATGGTTAGTGGATCAGTTTGCTTTCCTTAATTACACTTCTATGTAACAAGGGACAGTTTTATGTTGAGTGAGACATTGTTGGGAAAATGATGGAAATGTTTTCCCCAAATTATTAATGAAATATAAAGGGAGAGGCTCAGGAAAAAGGCAAAAAGTATGAGAAAAGGAAAGGAACAGCAGAACTGAGATGGAAAGGGAAAGACAACAGGATCGTGTGAGTTTGAGAATTCCTTACTTGATCCGTGGAGGTTGTAGATCACAACCCCTCCTGCACACTCTAGTAGACTGCTTTGTGAGTTGCTAAGGTCCAGAAGTGTCATCATCCAGTAGCCAGACCTCTGGTGATGAGATGATCCTTTCTGTATCTAGGCTAGTCCTCAAACAATAGATTCACCATCTGTTGCCAGAACAAACTTGACACCTTTCCAGTTGGGTAGGGCATGCTAGAATTTGTGCCCTGTCAGCATGGTGTAGTTAAAAGAACACTGGACTCAGAAAACCTGAGTCTGAGTCCAGGCTGTGCTGCTCACTAGCTATGTGATTTTGGGCAGGTCACTTTTTGAGCCTCCCCTGTAAAATAGGGAGAATAATACTTGCCCTAGATACCTCACAGGACTATGTGAAGGAAGGAAAGTACTATAGAAATGTGAGCCTTTGGAAACCTAGGGTCAGAGCTGCAACGAGGGCAGGGCTGTTGGTGCTTTGCCCCTGGTTGAAGAAACTCAGATGGAACAAATAGTTACACCTGGCAAGCTCCTGGACCATCTTGTTCCTCCTTGGGGGCAGGGCTTAGCACAGTGCCTGGCATGCAGTAGGCCCTTTAAAAAATGCTTTTATCACAGTGCAACTGAAGCTATAGACTCATTAGACTGGATGCTCCCTAAGGTCCTTTCCAGCTCTATCAATCCAGGGCATTTTGCTTTCACATATACTCTCTCATTTTGTCATTATAATATCTTCATGAGGAATTGTGGTAAAACCTACAATGACTCTGAAGGCAGCATGGTATATAATGGGGCAGGCACTTGGCTTAGAGCCATGAGGCCAGAGTTCAAACTCAGCATTACCACTTAACAAGCTGTGTGACCTTGGACAAGTAATTTGACCTCTCTGAACCTCAATTTCCTAATCTACAAAATGGAGCTAATACTTGCCCTGCCTGTTTCTCAAGGCAATTGGAAGCATCCAATGAGATAACAGATGTGAAGCTCTCTCTACATTAGAAAGTACTATATATCTATAGGGAGCCATTTCTACTAGGATATTTTCTCTCCGGGCCTAATCAGCATCTTTTCCCATCTTTAAATTCTAGTACAGGGCATCTATTTATTTATTTATTTTTAAGGCAATTAGGGTTAAGTGACTTGCTGAGGGTCACACAGCTGGTAAGTGTCAAGTGTTTAGTCTGAGGTCTCATTTGAACTTAGGTCCTCCTGACTTCAGGGCCAGAGCTCTATCCACTGCACCACCTAGCTGCCTCTTGGTACAGGGCATCTAGATGGCAAAGTGAATAGAGCACAGGCCCAGGAGTCAGGAGGACCTGAGTTCAAATTTGTCCTCAGACACTTACTAGTTATGTGACCCTGGGCAAGTCACTTAATCCCAATGGCCTTAAAAATAATTCTAGTCCAGACAGCATAGTATAGTAGAAATTTAATTCAACAAATACTTATCAAGCACTTATTAAGTGCTAGGTACCGAGACCAGGAGTGAGGTCATCTGAGTTCTAATGCCAGTTATTCCAATAATTCATTATGTGACCTTGAAGAAGATACTCTGAATCTCAGTTTTCTTATGTGTTAAAAGAAAAAAAAAGGCAGGGGGGAGGGGGGATGTTTTAGACTAAATGATTTCTAAGGTCCCTATCTGGTTTTGTTTTTGTTTTTGTACTTAATAGTATCCCCCCCCCCGTCACATGTAAAGACAGTTTTCAGCATTCATTTTTGTAAGATTTTGAGTTTAAAATTTTTCTCCCTCCCACCCTTCCCTCCCCCCTCCCCAAGACAGCAAGCAATCTGATTCCTATCTGTTCTTAAATGATGTGATGCTGATTTATGGCCACAATAGATTCATCTTTCCCACTGATAAATTTTTTCCTTTTTATTTTTTTCAACAGGGAATCTTTCTGGAACAAAAAATAGCTTTTACTCAACATTTACATATATAAGTAACACAGCTAGGTGGCAAAGTGGGTAGAGTGTCAGGCCTGGAGTCAGGAAGACTCATCTTCTTGAGTTCCAATCAGGCCTCAGTCACTTACTAGCTGTATGACCCTGGACAAGCCACTTAACCCTGTTTGCCTCAGTCTCTTCATCTGTAAAATGAGCTAGAGAAGGAAATGGCAAACCATTCCAGTATCTCCTGCCCTCTCTCACTTCCTTCAAGTTCCAGCTAAAACCCCACCTTCTAGAGGGAGCCTGTTAAATCCCTCTTCATTCTAGTGCCTTCTCTGTTGAAGGTTTCCAACTTGTCCTGCATATATGCGTATGTGTGTGTGTTTATATATATATGTATATATGTATGTATATATGTCTATCTATCTATCTATCTATCTATCTATCTATCTATCTATCTATCTATCTATCTCTTGTTTGTATATATAGCTGTTAGCACGTTGTCTCCTCCCACTAGACTGTGAGCTTCTTGAGGGCAGGGACTATTTTTCTTTTTCTTTTTTTTGCAGTTGGGGTTAAGTGACTCACCCAGGGTCACACTGCTAGTAAGTGTCAAGTGTCTGGCCCGAGGCTAGGTTTGAACTCAGGTCCTCCTGACTCCAAGGCCAGAGCTCTATCCACTGTGCCAACTAGCTGATCCGAGAATTGTGAATTTCTTAATTGCTCTTCCCCATGTCCACTAATGCCTACGTTCTAGATCTCTGTAAAAACATTCGTATCAACTCTTAATTGTTGGCATGGGAAGAGTTGGCATCTAGCAGAGCTTACAACCATAAACTGGTTCTCCAGTTTCTAGAGAGGCAACATGGTATAGTGTAAAAAGACTTGGATCCCGGAGAATTGGATTCAAGGCCTGACTTGGACAATGATAAGCTGTATTGCCTTGGCCAAGTCACATGGAGTCTCAGTTTCTTCTTCCGTAAAATAGGGCTAAAACTACTATGTGAACTACTTACCTTGTAGGGTTATTGTGAGGAAAATACTTTGTAAGCCTTAAGTGAGTATATATGCATATATACATGCATAAATTTATGTACGTAAATACATGCATACATACATATATATAAATACATACATGCATAAATAAGAGTGGGTATATACACATATATGTATATATACATACAATTAGGTATAGATGCAAGTATATATACATAAGTGGGCATTTATGTACATATATAAATATATACAGACACACAGGTGGGTATGTATATGCAGGCATACACATAAGTGGGTATATGTATATACTTATGCACATACATACATATGCAGACATGTATGTGCATATATGCATGTATACATATGTACAAGTGGGTCATCTTTTTTTTTTTGGACTCTGTATAAAAGAGGACCAAAATGACATCACTAGTCTAGAGTCAAGTTTTAGTGTGTCCAGCTGTGGCTAATCAGACCAATACGGGCTTGGAATGCTCTACCACAGGTCCAGCACAAATAATCTGTGTGAACACAAGTGGGTATGTATGTGTATCTACATATAAGTAGGTATATATAATGCACACACATATATCACCATCATACATATACTATACATATACCTACTTGTACATGTGTATAGGAACATATATGCAGGTATATACACACAAGTGTGCACATATGTGTATTATATACAAGCTATTATTATTGGGTGTCAGGCTAAGGAGTTTGGACTTTACCTTAAGGAGTCTCTCCAAGGAAGGTGGAAGGCCAGAGAAGTTACTCATTCATTCAACAAACATTTAATAAATATCTAATGAGTTCAAGGCACTAAGATAGGTGCTGGGCATGCAGGCAAAGGGGAAAATAGTCCCAGGTCACAAGAAGCTGACATTCTATGGGAGTGATACAATATAAGGCTACAAGTCAGGGGTTCATAAACCTTTTTTTTTTAATGTTAAGCATTACTTTGGCAGAAACTGGCAAAGCCTATGGACAGATTCTCAGAATAATATTACACATTGGACCACAAATGAGGCGATTCTGTCATTTTTCCCATCTACATT